TAGTGACACACACACACACCCCCGCCAGGGAAGAAGGTATTTTGGGGAGGGGTGGATTAAGATTTTAAATGGGCCCCAGACCTTCCTCCCGATATCCTCCGCCACTTTCAGACTCCTCGCTCTCCTTCCCAATCCCATACCCCGCGCAGACTCTTCTTCCCTGGCTCCTTGATTCTCTCCAATCACCCACCCCCTGGTGCCCCAGATCTGTTCTCAGTTGCAGTGACCGGTTCCCTCAGGCTGCTGGCCTGGGATCCCAGGGATCTTGCCTTAACTCAAGCCCCGACTGATCGCGTTCACAGGCACGCTTACCTGGCTAGAGTGAGGTCATGCTTATGGTATTCCAGGGCCTTGGAATATTCCTTTAGGTAGAAGTAGGCATTGCCCAGCTGGCTGTAGATAGCACTAAGAGTCTTCAGATCCTCTGTCCCCACCTGTACCGCTGCTTCGAAGAAGGCTGCTCCAGCCTTGAAGTCCCCAGCTTTGCACAGTCGCTCTCCTTCGAGGGCTAGTTCGAGGCAGGAGGCTTCCATTCTGTTAAAATCAAGATCATTTCCAGATGAGCCGAGCTCTGGAGTTCCCACCTTTTTACACATTTTGCTGAGAGTACAAGGAACAAACATGTGATGCAAACCACAGACTGCCCCTGCCCAGACAGAAGGCCCGACACTCTGAAGGCAAGGGAGAGCCAGAATAGATTTTAAAGATTAAAGGCAAATTTTTCAAAAGTTTGATTGAAAGTCAATGGGATTTAGGCTCCTAAGTGCCTAATTGATTTTTATTGAATATTGAATGTGGGACTTGTGCTCTTGGGTGACGACTTAGGAACTTTTGAAAATTTTGCCCTAAGTGTGAAGACGCGGGGAAAGGGAATTGTACAAAACGCTCCATACAGAATAACTGCCTTCAAAGGGCAGTTGGAGTGATCCACCCATCCTCCTTTCCTGACAGTCAGAAGTTTAGGGTTGCCTCGGGCATGGGGTTGTATCTCGGACCATCTTGGCTAATAGCCATTGATGGACCTATCCTTGATCTCATTCTTCACCGAACCCAGTTATACTTTTGGCCATCCACATCCCCTGGCAATGAGTTCCACAGTTTAACTTGCCATTTTGTGGAAAAAGTACTTCCCCTTGTTTGTATTAAACCTGATGCCTATTTAAAAAACAAACAAACAAAACAGTGAACACACTTCAGACTCCTATTGAAATAAGAAAAAAACAACAACACTCCGCACATCGTGGGCACCTTCCATCCAAGGCTCTCAAATGCTTCACCCTCATTACATTTAGCCTCCACACCCCTGTGACGCACACTCTTCATGCTAGAGACGGAGAAACCAAGGCACAAAGGCTGAGTGACTGGCTCAAGGTGGCACAGAGAGTCTGTGGCAGAGCCAAGCTCAGAACCTAAGTCTCCTGACGCTAGTCTTGGGCTTTAGCCACAAGTCCATCCTTTCTAACAGCTCTCTGAACCGGCTTCAGTTAGCACATGTAAATAGCCCAGGGCTAAAGGGTTATTGGACTATACCAATTAGGAGTGCCCATCACTGTCACAAAGGGGACCCAGGGGCTATTTCCTGACCTGCTCTCACCATTTGCCAGTATGACCGGCTCCTCATTCCACTGCACAGCAAAGTTGTGTTGCTTCTCTTCCTCCCCAAGCAGCCCCTGATCTACTTCCTGGCTATAACAAAATTATTAATCATGTTTTTATGGCAGTGCCTAAGGGCCAGCCAAGACTGGAGCCCCTGGGGCCAGGCACTGGACAAACAGAGTGGTTGACGGTCCTCACAAAAGCTTGCAATTAAATAGACAGGGTAGACCCAGGGTGGGGGAAGGGGTAGAACACACCAGCCAAGCCAACAACATGATGGCAACAAACATCATGTTAGTGCCACAATTTTTTTGTTTTTTGAGGTGGACTTAGTTAGGAGGGGATCAGCAAAAAGGGAAGGGAAGTGGGGTGAGAAGGGCAGGTTTGGAGTGTTGCTGAACTGAAGAGACTGTGAAACGAGAGGCAGGGGAAAGGACAGGGTTGGAGCAAATATCAGGCGGGACTGTGGGTGCTCGTCTGCTTTGAAAATCAAGCCCCATGTGTCTGAGATGAGCGTAATCCAAAATTACAGGCCACCTTTGAAAATGCTGGCTTAAGTGATTTGGCTAGCATTACACACCGAGTCAATGTGGGATTGTTAGGATGAGAATCCAGGCCTGATCTCCTGGTTCCCAGGCCCCACACACACTCAGAGTCACCGCACGAGAGCAATGGATGGGTATGGTTTTCTTTAAGGGAGTGCATACCTCATCCACCCTAAATGACTGCCTATGCCGCTTTCCCAAGGGGTAACGCAGAGGCTAGCCCGGTTGCTGCACGTTTTTAATGAATACCACAGAAATCTGGCACGCACTACAAACTTTGGACTGTATAGAATTTCTTGGTTTATAAGCCACAGTTCCCTGGGCCTGTTTTTCATTAACTTCCCGGCCGTCAGTTTTTCCACAGGCATTCTTTACACATTAGCACTAGGGCCCACCTCTCATCTCTTGTGCTTCTTGACACCTCTTATTACTTACACACATGGTGGTGTGACTAATGGTCACATCAAAGCCTAGGGAACCGGGCAAAGGAGCGGTGCAAGAGGTGTTTCCTCCTTGCAGCTCTGTCTACCTTACAGCTGAAGCCAGGCCTGTTATACCCTTGTTTACACTTTGTAAAAAGAGGAGTGTATTTTGAAAAAAGAAAGAAAAGGTTTAATTAAAAAATATTCACTGACATTCAAAATATTTTTAACGACAATTCTTTAATTTTTTGGGGTCAAAACCCAAAATATTTAGGCCAAAATGGTTTATGGATTTCTTTATTTATTGTGAACATTTCATTTTGGTCAAAAAGGCTTTTTCCATTGACTACAAAGTTTAGACGGCACATATTTAGGGTCAATACCTGTCGTGATGTGGGCTCCCATTAAGGTTTGCTTGATCAGTGCCCCCCCACTCTGGTTCCGCCCAAAACACAAACAAACCCAGTGTTACACCCCGGTGCAGGATAATCTTGTAGCATGGTTTGGCCAACACAGATCCCAGCTGTCAGAGAAACCATGAGGTGTTTAAACACAATTGTCACTAACATCTCTGCAGCCTCTAATGTTGACAGTGCCTAGTTGGTTTGTAGCTCACAACCTTCTTTGCACAACTCATAATCAACCTGTGGAACTCACAGCTGCAAGGTACTATTCAGGGAAGTATCTTAGCAAGACTCATAAGGAATTGAGACTTCCATGAATAAGAATAGCATAAGCAACAACCCTCACTAGAGGAACATTAACAAGGGTGTTCAAGCCTCAAGCGAGCCGTATTGCACAATAGCCCAGGTGTATTTTGGGGGTTTTCTCTATTTCCTCTGCAGCAGCTGGATGGGTCAATATCAAGAATAGGATACAGGCCATTAGTTCGAGTAGGGCAGTTGCTACAGTGAGCTACTGTTTGCTGAGATTAGTCATTTAAAAGATTATTTACAGTGCTGCCGCAACAATGCAGAGATAAAGCAACAAGCCTCCTACAGGGGATTAACCAAGGACACACGTTTCAAAGACTTTCACAGCTGAGAAGCGTCTTTCCATTTCCTGAAAGACAGAGCCGAGGCTAGGTTCCAGGATGGTAGTTTTGACAGGTTCACTGTTCAAACACCGAACCTCTCAAACCCACGGGATTTCCAAGCAAGACAGGAAGATAAACCGTCCAGACAATCATCGCAGCACCATGGAGTCATTAAGAGCTACCAAAGGAATAGCAAGCCATTGAGTGCAGAGTGCAAGACTTTTGCACGTGTACTTTTCTACGATATTTACGGCAGAAAATAACCCCCCTGCTCTGAGTTCATGCTGAGGAAGCAAAATGGCACAATTACAGGTTTCCTTGCCAAGTCTGCTCATGCAGCACTGAATTGTCTAACACACGGCAGGGATTCACAGAGACAGAAATTTGATTTTCCTCCTTTAGAATACCAAGAGCAATTGCTAGGCATGGCTGAGGTATGTGACCCCCACCACAAACTAGTCCTGGGATAGATTGCACCAGTGGTCCAAATGCCAACCTTCTCCTTTAGATTTCCAGACTGCCTGGATTCTTATAGCAACCCTCATCGACTCCATCGAGCTTTTACAAAACGCTTGCAAACATGGGCTAATTAATGCTCACAAGACAGGTAGATACTGGTAGGTAACCGCTATTATCCCCATTCTACAGAGGGGGGAAATTGAGGCACAGCATTTAAGTGGGATGCTATAAGGCTCTTTGACTGCTTAGTGGTGATTATTTCTTTGAACCAAACACTTAGTTCATCCAACCTGAATTAAAAATAGAAATGTGTGATGCTGTCGATTTTTGCACAAGAAAACAGAACAAAAAATGAAACCAGGGGGAGGCAATAGAAGCAGCGTTGTATCGTGGCAATAGTGGGGTAGGGCAGGATTGGAAGTCAGGACTCCTGGGCTCTGCCACTGATTCACCATGTGACTTCTGGTAACGACACATGCCTCAGTTTACCGTATCTGTAATGGGGATATTACCTACCTAGCTCAGAAAGACCCTGGGGGGGGAGTAATTAATGTTTATAAAGCAGATCATTAGCACCAGAGGGTCATTATTTGCATGACGTTAGCATGTAGTGGCCCCAGTCATGGATCAGGACCCGGTGTAGCTAGGTGCTGTACAAACAAAGCACTAACCCACAGTCCCTGGCCCAGTGACCTCACTGGCTAAGTCTAAGATGACATAATAGGTAGATGGGGTAAGACAGTCGGGGAGAGCACAAAGAAACACTGGTCAGCATGATCAGCAGTGGCCTCAGCACACCAGCTGCCTGACCACAGAGTTTTTCGTAGGCCCCAGGGCAGAGGAGCATTTTACGGAGGGATCTGAAGGAGCTCAAGGAGGTGGCTTGGCGGCTGTTTGCAGGGAGCTCCTCCACGTAGGGGTGGCAGAAGAGAAAGCACAAAGGTGTTTGCTTGTTGATTTAAGAAATGGGCTCCGAAGGCCGGCACCACTGGCAGAGTGGCGTCAGGAGCCGACGTTGCAAAAGCACATGAGAGATGACAGGGAGGGTGGAGACAGAGGAACAGTGCAGTGTATCTATGAAGACTAGCTAGTGCATAAAAAGGTGAACCCGAGCCACTCTCTCTCCAGGTGCAGACGGGGCTCTTTTCCCCTCCTTTCCTCTTGTCTTTTTCAGTGCTTCGGACAAAACTCATTTCCCCCTACGGTTAATCATGCTGTGGCACTCTCTCATCCAAATGTCATCAGCCCCAAATCCAGGAAAGACCTGGGCGTTTGCCGTTCATCTACAAGAGTCCTGCACAGCCACCAGAAAGAGGTCACCAATTTGGGCCAGAAAAGTAAAACTGGCCTCTCTTTGTTTGAGGAACTGAAACAAGCAAAACCAGCCCTTCTACGGCTTTAGCGACAATGATTCTAGCCAGCAATTGAGAAAACTGGAGAGACACCACTGAATTCTCCCAAAAATAATAAAACTGA